TGCCAGCTCGATTTTTTACAATTTTTCAAAATATGCCTAAAAACTAGAGTGTGTTTCATTTAGCAGGCCTCTACTCCCAAACGGCTTACTTTTAAACGTGAACCAGTAGCGACTTGAAATTCTCACCCGTTATACAAGAAGGTTAAATCTATGAATCTGAAGAGTTTTGTTCGAAATGCACCCCAGCTCGATTTCTGACAATTTTCCAAAATATGCCTAGAAATTAGACTGTTTTCCATTCGACATGTCTGCCTTTTTAAATGCCTCACATTCAAGCCTGCTTAAACAGGAAAATAAAAAAGGTTGAAATTTTCACAATTGATAGAGAAAACTTAAGCCGATAAAGTGTGAGAGTTTGGCTGTAAACCAATCGCAGGTGAATTTTGGGCAACGATTCAAAAACCGCCCTAGAAACTTGGCGGTTTTCCATTCGGCACGTTGCCTTCTTAAGTGCCTCGGATGCAAGCGGGAGCAAGCAGCCACTTAAAATTTTCAGGTATGATAAAAGACACATCAGCTTATAAATCCCGAAAGTTTCGATGCAAACAAACGCTTCCTTCATTTTTGGCAAATTTTTAAATTTCGCTTATGAAACATGAGCGTTCGGTTTTCCTGCCTTCTCAAAGCTGCCCCTGAAAGCGGTCATAAAAACCATCTGTAAAACACTTGTAATCAAGTGAACTTTTCATTGAAGACATTGTTGGAAACTGGTCGGTTTTTCGACAATGTTCGACAAATTTTAATTAATATGCTACTGTTCAGTGTGAAAAACCCAAAAAACGACCTTTGAATGTTTCCCAATACGTGCAATAATAACAGCCAGCTTAAAACAAATCCGATGAGATAAAGCACTGCAAGTCAAACGTTTTACAATGAAAAACCAGCAAATGTTTTGGTTTAGTGGGATTTTACCAGATGAGCTTCAATTTCACCCTGTTAAACTCCCTAAATTCAATGAGATAAATCCAGGCTGCAGCTGCAACTTAACGCAGTGCATAGTTTTCAATAAAGTGCATATAAATTACAAGGAAAAATGTTGAAACCCCAAAAGAAGCAAGTAAAACCCCAAAAATGTTATCGATCAGGTTGGTTATCCCAGAAAAGTAGCGCGCCATGGACCGGCCATTGTTCTAGAAAAATTCCGTATCAATTTTTTTCCAATATATCTGAAGTGTCTTTTATCAAGTGGGGTTGAAAGTGTGGTATAAATAACCGGGCCCCAGTGAACAACCACATTGTTATACGGAAAAAACGCGACCGATACAATGCAGTGGTCATTTGTGCTACTAATTACAACGTGCGCTATTAGCGTGCTATCATCGCCAGCCCGTGAGTATTGCTCATCAACTGACACTCTAACAGTCAAAATTCTGCTTTTCCTGTTCAAAAACGCTGAAAAGTCGCGGCAACCTACTCGAAAACAAGTACTTATCAACACGTCCCTGAAACGCATATTATTTGATCATTTTTGACGAATTTGTGCGTGTAATCGCGACAGCAGTACTTGAAGTAATCAGAAGAAAACATGTTTGTTTACAGCTCCATGTTCCACTAACGGTGCCTTCTTTGCCGACGATGATTGCACGAAGTACTGGAGTTGCGCCAATGGAATTGCCTACGAGTTCTCTTGTCCAGCTACTTTGAACTTCAATCCGTCTAGTGATGTTTGCGATTATGCTGCCAGTGCAGGATGCACTGGGAAGGGCTGGGATGACCCTACTGAACCGTATGTCGACTTCATTCTCTTCTATAAGGAGCAGTGGGTTTAATGCGTTTCACGTTCGTAGGCCTTTGGTACCAACAGATGCTTCTACTCCAGCTCCAGACACTCCTTCTACTGCAACTTCTCCTGTAGCTCCAGATACTCCTCCTGCAACAACTTCAAGTCCAGCTCCAGATGCTCCTTCTACAGCACCTTCTAG